ATTGAAAGATAAGTATACAATAGGTAGTCGTGACTTGTTTCGATAAACGAGTCAAGTTTCTGATAAAGGTCAAATCTATGTTGTCAAAACTTCTCTCATCGTATCGCAATCAATAGAAATGCCCGAATACATTTCAGTTGTTCATGGCCTGATTTACATTAAAATGTAATCCACACAAACATCTCATTAGGCGGATTTTCTTAAGTCCATCAAACGTATGGGCTTGGTTATCTACTGTTTGCTTTGACTGAGAACGCAACTGAGTGCGCCCGGCTTACTTTCGTATGGATCCAGGACAGTTCGAGTTCAAGGGGCGCGCAGTTGTTAAGAAAATTTTATACTAAATTACCTACCGTTTGAAATGTCTCGGTCTTCACGAAGAACTTGGCAAGCAGCCCTCACAGATTCGAGAGCATCCCCCATTTCTTGAATTTTCAGAGTAAATTTTGAATCCAGCATTTTTGTGTTTGTCTCCGATCTAACAAAGAGAGACACCGTCATCAGAATGGCTGCAACAGACAACAGCGATGAAGCCTTTTGAAGACAGTCACCAAGTTTTTGACTTGATGAAATTTTCGTTTTCTGTGCGTTGATATCCATGGTGTTTTCCCTGCGTGCCTTGCTGTAAGTAAAAAAGGCACAAAACAAACTCGTCAAACTCAGCAGTACTGATGATCATACAATTACTGCACATGGTTTTGTTTACCGTTTCAGCCCTCAAGAAACTGCGGAATAAAGGAGCGCTACGGTTAATTGTATCCAAAGTTGGAGGCAGTCCAAATTCTTTACGAGTTTACAATAATCCGGCTTCGTGCATCACTCAGTTTCAATAATAAAGACATCGGCAATTAGTAGTTTTATCGTCGGCGTGTGGTTTTTAGCATTTCTCCAATATACTTACCATCTAACAAGGGTAGATTTTCCTCTCGGTTTTCGTGCTTCCGTCCTTCTAATAAAGAAACCTTAGTAGTTAGAGGCGACCTTTTCACGTGATGCTGTCTGTCATCAGTTTTTTGTCACAGCGGAGTACTTGAGGGTTTATGTGTACGGACCACACACAGCTGAAAGTATTGAATGCATTGTTTGTGATCTTATTCAGAAGTACCCTTGATTTTCAAGCTAGCT